CAGACACTCATTATCACACTCACACCCAGTGACACATTCACCCAGACCTCATTATCACATACACACCTAGTGACACACTCACCCAGACACTCATTATCACACACTCACATCCATTTTCACACTGACTCACATACAACCCATACACAGACACCCTCACACGCTCACACTCAGTCACATGGACCAGCTCCTATAGAGCAATGAGTTGTAGTGAAATGATGGAGTGGTTGGCTGGTTCCCAATGAGATTACAGCTCAGACTTACAGCTGAGCGAGCTCTCGTTGGTTTTGGTCTCATGACTGAGAGTCTGCGCTCGCTTCCTGTGGCCGCAGACAAAGTGACAGAACCGCTCGCGGAACTTCTCCCCCACAAAGAAATAGACAACGGGATCGAGGCAGCTGTTGAGGCTGGTCAGGCAGGAAGTGATGCGGTTACTGAGAGCGATCAGTTTCCTGTCCCGGCAGCTGGAGCGGGTGGTGCCGGCAAACAGGATGTAGATGTACCGGTTGATGTGGTAGGGCACGAAACAGATGAGGAAGATGGTGAGCACCAGGATGATCATCTTGATGGCCTTGTCCTTGAGGTGCCTCTCGATGCGGTTACCCCTGCGGAGGCTGCGGATGATCAGCAAGTAGCAGGTCACCGTGATCACAAAGGGCACCACGAAGCCCACCGTCAGGGGCACCAGGGCGACGCTGGAGGTCTTCTCCCTGTAAAGCTGGAGGCACTTGGTGGTGGTGGCATTGCCCACCTGGAGGGTTTGTGGTGCCCCCAGCATGGGCGCCACACCCACCACGATGACCACCCACAAGGCGATGCAGACCACGTTGGCGTAGAGGGGCTTTCGGATGCGCATGGACTTGACCGGGTAGACGATGGCCAGGAAGCGGTCGGCGCTGATGCCAGTCAGGAAGATGATGCTGGCGTACATGTTCAGGTAGAAGAGGAAGCCGGTGATGCGGCAGGGCACCTCACCGAAGGGCCAGTGGTTCTGGCTGAGGTGGTAGACCATCCTCATGGGCAAGATCAGGACATAGGACAGGTCGGCCACTGCCAGGTGCATCAGGTAGATGTTGGTGGTGGTGTTGGAGCTCTTGTCACAGGAGAAGACCCACACGGCGAGGATATTGCCCACGAAAGCCAGCACAAAGACCACCCCATAGAAGGAAGAGAAGAAGAGGTTCTCCTCATGACTCTCCTGCATACACTGCTGGGAGCTGGCATTGCTGAGGGGCACTGCCATGTCGAAGGTTACCCGCTCATACAGGGTGCAGACTGGACCACGTTCTCAATGGACATCTGCAAAAATAACAACAGCTCCGTGACAGTTCCCTGTTTCAAGTGGACCTGCTGACCCCTCACATGTTAGTCGTACGTTCTACTATCCCAGGCCCATTGTTTCCGAGGTGCATGAACGCTGCATTTAGATAGTTACTTTACACCTTTCCTGCCCTATGCCTGTACTCAAGCGAGGCTCCTACTCGTTGCATGGGGGACAGTAACAAGGTCAGTATATCACAGCTCCATCACGGGCCCTAAGAATTTCACTCTGCAAGCAACATGCCACCTCTCTCCCACAGCAAACACAAACTGCCTGCACAAATCAAACAGAAAAACAACTTGTGTCCTGGGACATAAGGGTCAGATACTGTCAGGGTCACAGATACTGTCAGGGTCACAGATACTGTCAGGGTGACAGATACTGTCAGGGTCACAGATACTGTC